TTTTAAGTAAAATTTAATTAATATTTAAATTGCATTTAATGATAACACTGGCTCCCTCGACATTTTATTGGTTCCATAAACCGCGTTTGGGCCAATCACAGTGTTCTACTAAGATTTCTGCTGATGAGTTTGAGCTGATGAGTTAAGTTTATTGAAGTACTTACGCTACGATAAGTATTGATTTGATGGGATGAAAGCACCGAGAGAAACAACATTATTTTATCAAAGTTTCTGTCGCCTTGAAGTATTTTCTCGGTCGGCCATTCGAGGGTCGGTAAATTATTAGAGTGGCCGCGGAATATTGTACTTAACGTTAAGTAATTTAACTCTAAAGGGACTGTATTTGGTCTTTAAGCGCCGCTTGTAATTATCAGTAATTGAATAACGCTATACAGAGTACCTTTCACTTATCCAAATTCGTATTATTATTATTATTATTATAAATACCTATCTGTCGGAGACGAGTTTTTGGAATAACAGCAAACGCAAACTTGCAACTGAAAGTGAATCGATAAAATTAATTTGCGGGGGGTTTAAAATAACCTATTATATTTTGACAATACGAATGATTGGACAGAAGTGGCAAGGTGCGCTGGAAAATAATGCGAGGCGCACGTCGCGTTGAATTTGACGAATATGATATTGCCAGCACGAATAATGTAGTAAAATAAAATTGAAATAAAACTAAAAAGATATTTTCCCCCTGCCAGGGTGGAAATTCAACGTTTCCTCGGGCTATAAGGTAATTCGATGAGTATGACGAATGATATGTGTACGTCGCACGCAAACCATTTATTTCCCCACAGTCATTTCTTATGGTAATTTTTTATTCGCCGTGATACATTTTCAGTTTTTCATTAAACGTAGAGACAGATTTGAAATTTTTCAACTTTTTTTCAGACCACTGGCTCGGTCTTTTTTTTCTCTTACGAATAATATGTTTTATGAAACAAACTTTTTATATTTGCATGTTTATCAGAAAATAAGTTTTGTCTTGCCCGGATAAATAAGAAGACTATAAAGTTTGTTACGATTTACAATTCAAATACTTATTCATAATAACGAAAATTCAAATCTCGACTCGTTAAAGTTTATTTTACCTGTACATCAATTGGCAAGTAAATATTTAAATTGCTCGGCCAATTTGTTTCGTGAGATAGTACAATATAGTTTGCTTGATACTTGATTGCGTTGAAATAATAATAACATATTGTATATATATTTTTTTCATCTGACCTATGCCATCAAAACTGGCAATAATAGAAATTAAATGGGAAACGCAAAATAGTAAAATATTACAAAATCGTTCACTAACAATAATAGGTAAAATCAGTAAATTCATTTTTAGAGATATAGAAATCCATTGGGGATAAATAGATAGGTTGCAGAATAACATAGGTTTATCAATTTACAAAAATAGAAAATCATACTTGTACGTTAGTTTATTTATCATTTGTTGCTTAAAAACTATAATATTAATAGGTCAATATTTTTTAGACCCTTCATTTAATACCCTAAGAGTTATCATTATAGTACCATTAAATTTCTATTATATTTATTTTATTTCGGACTATATTACTTTTTTTGTTACAGTAATATTAAAAATACGATATTTATGTTTTCTCTGGCAAATGCTAGACTACGGCGGTCACATTAAAAAAAAAAAAAAGAATTGTCTTTATCTCACGCCTTCAATAAATCACCAAGTTTAGGTATCAAGTCAACCTCAGCTCGAGTCACAAGGAGAAAACGACTAAATAATTCTGAAATAAATCGTTGGGTTACCGATTTTCTTTTGCGTAGAGTTTTTTTGTATTCTACTTTCATCGGATTGATATGCAAAGTGGATTCCTTTTGTAAATAATACCTTTTTTTGCTTTAAAATGTATCCGGCTGGCCGATATTAGAAAATACACCGTATCAACTTCACAGAATAAGGAACTTTTTTGGTTAAATAAACTGTTTTCGATTAGTTCATCTGTTTGGGACTTTAAATATTTGAAATACGGATACTTTAATGTTTCCCGTCTCTTTTTGTATTTAAACTTTTTCTTCGAGGGTCACAAATAATACTAACGGTTAACGGTTTACATATAATATATGCTATTGCTTTATTTGAAATTTGTTATTGCATACAGTATACACTATATTATACTTATGATAAAGTAGCAAACGGTATTTTCGAACATTTAAAGAAATATAAATATATAGGTATTATGTTATAGTTTCATATTCCCATGGCTATGATTCCTTTCATATATTTTTTTACTAACCTTCAGTCATCACAATAATAATTTCTGTCATTTTCGAAGATGCATTCTTAGTTTAATCAATATTATACTCTTGTGATTGTTACACAACAATTATTGCAGACTTCGACCTTCAATTAAAAGTGACAATTGTTTATTATATTGTATTCATGATGCAATTTTAGCGCATTTGTAAGTATGACAAGTAGAAGTGTTTGCTTGTTGAATACAAGAAAAGGTTAGAGGTGATAGCAGTATCCGAACAATTCACACGAATCAACGTATAACGGAGCTAAAAGAGATACAATCTAAATTGAAGGAAGACCATTTCAGCTGTGAAATGTTGTTTGCACAATCACGTCGCATAGCCGGAAGAAAAGTGCTGATTAAAATAATTGCTTCATGAGAATTATTGTGAACCAGTCGTGCGTACAAGGAAAAGACGAAAGACATCATTAAAGGGCGCAAAAAGAAAAATTGAAAATAAAAACGTAAACGATCGAACACAACAATTTATTTACCATGTTGTAGTTTTTAGTCTACTTTTTTTTTATGTCTAGTAAGGTTTTTTTTTTTTTTACTTTGTAAACTTCTTCAAAAGATATATCAATAGAAAAGTTATTATTTTTACCTTATAAATTGTATTGTTTTAATATAGTAAAGGAAACAAATTACCAAGTCATCAATTGATTTTTCTGGTTAAATTTTTCATTAAGGGGATACATGCGGTCTGTTTTTTTGACATTTTTTACCAAAAAGCCAGACAAAATTTCGACTACTTAGGACGGTCCGATTTCTATTGTGTAATGATATACGAGTTCTTAGACGACTTTTCCAAGTTTTATAGGAAATATATTTTAACATTTTTTTATGTAAAAACATTGGCTTTTAGTATTGATAAAATTGCAAACTGAATTAATTTAATTACAAAAAACAGTAATTTTTAAATGAAAGTCGGATTCCTAAGGCTGGACCAATTAAATACGTTAATATGGGGGGGGGGGTATGTTGTAATATATTGGTAAAACACTGATAAAGTACTTACAAGAATGGTTAGACAAAAATATTATATCCGTAATATCTACCAAAGAAATAGTTGATTATTTTACGTTTGAACTAACAATAAGGAAACAAAAAAAAAATAGATTCTAGCCAACGCAAAATTTACATTTATAATTGAAATGACTTTTTGTTGTGCGTTGTGCGGTCTTCGTAGTTTGTATTAAGATAGCTTAGTCCATTTCTAGTAATGTAAGCTATATAGCTTACATGGGTATCATGTCGTATGTGGTCTGCATAATAATATTTGACTCGTGTGATTAACTACTGTTCTAAACTGCATGCAAATTAAAATACATTTTCCAGTAAACATTCGAATTGCATGCCACCATTTATAAGCGCGTTTCCTAATTGCATTATCCATTGTTTGTTGATATTTAATAATAATTATTATTAATATCCCATATAGGAACAAAATATACACAATTTCGCCTGATAACGAAATAATCGTGTAAATATAATAATAACACTACTACGGTACTTGAAACCCAGAATTTCTAATTTCTCATATCTTAGAATCCATATTTTAGTCCAAAATATGACATCAATTAAATTTTTAAATTATCTGTCCAATGCATAAGCTATGACATATTATGTACCTAACAAGTAACAATATATTGCGGTATTTAATTAAGGTACACCCTGTACATGCCCTCGTTATGATACTCGAACGGACAATAATATTCTTGAACAGAAAATAGAAATAGCTGTGTAAACGCATCAAGATTGATTACTTGTAAAGGGACGTGAAATTTATACACCACATGACATGCAATATTGTACATAACAGTATATCCAACCAAGTAGGACTTTAGCAAAATAAAGTAGACGTATTAAGATACATTATACAATACAAATTTAAAAAAACAACTACTACAAAAACAGGCTCGAGTGGCTCTGAAATCATACTCGGGATTCCCATTAGTGTATAGATAACTATTTCATTATAGCGTTTTCTGTTGTTTAGGCATAGTGTGTGTACACAGATTAAATACCCTAGATCACTAATTACCAAAACGATAACGATTGTTCGGAGAGGTGGGGGGGGGGGGGTTGTTAACGATTCAACTAAATGCATTAGTAGACGTAATTGTTTTTAGAGCGTGTAAATAATTGTTATAATTTGTCTGGACGTCTACCCGACGACATTCTTTTAAAACGCGCTGTTTGTCGAACAAGTATAGATACAATACGGGGGAGGGGGGGGGGTGTAAACGAGTCGATTAAATGTCTAAGTGTAATAATCCGCTGACTGGCTGAAATGAGAATAATCGCATTATTAGCTTACGGGCTATTGTATTCCACGATATGTTGAGCAATATACTTTAAGAGAGGTATTATTATGTATTAAAAGCTCGATCGATGAACTTTTTCTATTACGAACGATTGATGGTCACTGAAACGTGTAAACGGAATGTGTCCGAACGAGTTTTAAACCTAACCCCGTTATTAAAACTCGCGTTTAAGACTTCTCGAAATACGTTTTATTGAGCTTATAACGTGGAAAGTTTTTCGGCGAACGCACACTGTATTCTGTGCGGCAATAAGTAATGGCCAAACCCGGGTCGCACACACTCTATATAGTGTATAAGACTTTGTTATAGTGTTTTGTTTTCTCGGCGAAACTGTGCGCTCGCCGTGTTGACAAATCTCCAATACGGCCGTGATGGAAAATAAAACCGCCGGACTTACCTCTATTCCGTTGACGAACCAAGTCACGGTGGCAGCAGGATATGTCATTATGGCACTGCAGTTGGCTTCTAAATATTCACCTATATTGTAATAGTCCCGGACGCCATCTAGTCTGGGCCCGTCTTCTGGTAACGCTGTGTAAGAAAAAAAACCAAAGAAAATACCGACAAAATTAACTTGGAGTTCCACAACGGCAGTTGCCTGTTTTATTACCTATGACCGTCAAATTTGATTCTTCGACTACCGTGGGGAAATTCGGAGCGTCCGTGGATACTTCGCACTTGTAGTTGCCATTGCTGTTCCTCGTCAAAGGATACAAGACGACCGTGTTGGCCGATGATTTTTCTTCCTGTAACACAGATCAACCCAAACTATGAGCGACGCGAGACAAACGCGACGTTTTCCGAACATTTCTAGTAGCTCGCACTAGGTTCGTTTGTGTTTGCCGTTTCGCTGTTCAGTGTAAAAATTCGTGCACATAAATTGCAATAAACGTGACGGGATACGGTAATATTTCTGTGGTTATATGATGTCGAAAACTTTCGGTTCAAAAATGTTATGTATACACACTGGAAGTATGAAACATTCATTGTTTCATCTCTCGTTTAAACGACAATGGCAAACGCTATCTTTCGCTTTCTCCCGCCTAACCGAGCCGCCCTAAGCACGCGAGAAAAGTTTTGTCGTAATTTTTTAGCATGTCTCGCACTATGTTAACAGCTATAGAGTCTGTTTGCCCTGCCCGCCGCGCCGGAGAACACAACCCATCGAATATAATGTTATCATTTAAAAAAAAAAAAAAAAACACTTCACTCACGTCCACGTGAATGCCGTCCAAACCGAAAACCAACGTCTTCGGGTTTAGCTCGGGTGTATACCGGAAGAACTCGTGTTCATCTTTGTACCATTTGACGGAATACAAGCTGTCGCCGCCGGTGTCGAAATGGCAGTTGAGTGTAGCTGAACTTCTGAGGTCCACCCAACGGGGTACGTCTAATTTTAACAGTTTCAACACTCCTTTGCCGGCTAAAAAAATGAAATAAAATAATATTAAATCAAACGAATTGTCTATTATGTTTTGTAATATTGTGGAAAATATCGGGGACGATTCGGGCAATTTAACGTAACCGCTTTACACGGTCGTAATGGTAGGTGTTTATCTATTAACTGCTTTAAAGCAAATGCTTTTTTTTATTTGTTGGTTTTAATCAGTCTGGTCTAGTTTGATGCCCCCAAATCTTCAATTGCACGAATTTGGCCTTGTGTAACAATGCATAAAGTTAAGTTTGGATAGTTAGTTTTTAATTAACTTATAACTAGCTGTTCCTCAACTCCTTCTCCTTTGTTACTCCAATTCTGACATTCGAGTTTTCCTTTACTATAAATAATTATTAATCTCTTTATATCAGGCTTATCGCAAATCCTTAATTAGAATAAATAGTGAAATTTGCATTTTTTTATTATACTGTTAAATAGGTTAAAAACATTCGTGAGAATGGAAATGGGCTAAGATCGCCTAACCGACTTAACTTTGCTAACCATCCATCATACAGTAAATATATCTATTCATGAGATGTTATAGATGGATTTACAAATATCAAAAAAAGATATTTTATTTAAGTATAATATTATATTATTTACATTGATAGTGATATACAGTATATCATAAGTGATTTGTTAGTATTTAGGTATAAAATTTTGTTTTTTCTTTTCTTTCGTTAATAATAAATTTAATATCAATTTAGTGTATATTTTTAATTTATTATACAATAAATGCGCCACTGTGTCGAGGATAAACAAATAGTTGAATGATAAACTTGGTCAGATTAACCTACAATGTTAGAGGGAATATTTGATAATAATCCCAATAATTGATCGAGTAATTTAAATCGGACTATTGTTTATTTTTCATTAAAACATTTGCGTTTGAGTTTATTTATTTGCTATTATTATTAGCGTTTGACGTTTTGAGCAATATAACGATCGTTTAATCGTTGAATTTAAAATGAACCTATACTAAAAGTTATCAATTTATCTACGTATATAATCGAATATAAATGTACTTCAGCCACTTCAGAAACAATACAAATTGTGGTACAACTTACACAGTATAATATTTAGTATGCATATTACTAATACCGTAAAAAAAAAATCTTAAAGTGGAAATGAACATTGTTTAATAAATGTCATTTACAAACAGGGATAATGGCTCACGTAGAATGGTCGAGTTTTAATCATTTTTATTTTGTTTCAAAGATAAAAAATGTTAACAAGGCAACGCCATTTAATGTAAGGCAGTTTAATTAAATTGAATATTTTATGTTCATTTTTTTTTTTTTTTTATAATTGATAATTTTATAAAAACCAGAGGTCAATGCCGTTTTGTGGGAATTTTTCCTTTGCAAACTAAAAAATGATTATTAATATCCGATCACTCTACGAGGTGTCATCCCCGTTACCTTAAAGTCATTTTTCACAGTCAATATGGCTATAATTCAAATAAAAATCGTTATACGCCAGAAATTATACCCTAAAACTAATACCAAACATCATAAAAATTATAATGAATAAAATGTATTACAAATATGTTTAACTGTCATATATTGACAGTTTCAAATACTATAATTTATGTACAGTTGAATATTATTAAATAGACAAATTTACCTAGTAGGTACAATCAACTATAAAGGTCATTGGTATTTTTTATTTGTGTTCACTGAGTAAATGTATTTTTTTAAACATTTATTAGCTTATTTTTTTTTAATTATACAAATTGAAACTACTATGCGTGTTCTATATAATTTTTCTACTAAAACACATTTAGACTACTCCTACTTTTTGCATTTATTATGTTTTAAAAAACTCTCCAACAAATGGTTCAGTATATTTATTTTCGATGTGTAAACATTTTTTGAACGACTTTTAAATTTGTTTGATGGCTAAATCATTTTTCTACTTCATCCATTACATACCTACTTTATTTTATATTACAAAATTGTCTGATAAAATATTGACTTTTCCAGACGACACTTAGCTTATATTTATTTTCCCCTTAAAATTATTTTTAATTTATACTTGTTTAAACAATACCGTTGAGTATTTTTTCGTCTATTAAATAAATTATACTACTCAATTATAATAATTATCCGCTTAATATATTTTTATTCTAGCATTATCCATTCGTATAAAGCTATTGTTCATTACTCTGCTTCATAAAATGTCAGTTTTCATACAAATATTTGTTAAGTGCTTTCATGGCATCCACACTGTCGGCGATTGCAGTGAATAGCCTTGCATTTGTATAGAACACTAGCTATAATACTTTGCTATCTAGATAATGAGTAAAATTAATTAGTGTTTCCATCTTCTTATTTTATACAATTATATTTTATATAATTATAATTTGTCTTAGCTGTTGTTTTCTAAATACAGTATTTTAGTAATTTTAGTTGATTTGTTTGTAACATATTCTTTTTTCAACTCTTATCTTTTTGCTCTTTCCAATCATATAAATTCCGTCTATGAACCGTGTCATCTGTACTCAAAATCCATTCACTATTATACCTTATCACTAATTTTTTCTTTAAACCCTAAAATTGATTATTCTACCGTGTGTTAACCAGGTGATATTACTAAATGTAAATGTACACAATGATGTGTTGATAACGCCTATCTAAACTTTAATAATATGTCGTTTAATGGGAAAATAATACAATTACCTACTTGTCAGTCATAAATTAAAAAAAAAAGATTTGCTGAATACTTCAATTAAACAACGTTCCAACTGTATGTGTGCGGTTTATTGTTATTTGCAATGTACAAAAATTGCAATAACAATGTATGTTACGTGGATATTTCAAAAGGAAATTGATTATGGCCGTAGTATTATTGGAAAGTCGTTGGGATGAGCTGATCCGGAAAATTTGGCAGAGCAATGGAGTGGATGATGACGAGCAGACAAGAGCGATTGAATTTTCCATTAGGGGCCATCCAAAAACTTTCTTAGCGCAGAGCTTGTCAAGCTGGACGGCAAAAGATAATGTCTTCGTGTGAAACTTTGTATCGAACGGGATTATCGTCTGAGACTAATTTAGAGTCTTTAGCCAGAAGCCTTTTCTCCTACTTAACTAATTTATTCCACGGTAAAGCCGTATAGATTGTGTTATAGCTATTTAACATAGCCGACTTGTCGTTTCGCGTTGGCTTTGCTAATATAAGTGGTTTTGAGTAACAGAACAAAAACATGAAAGTTTGATACTCAATATTATACCCGAGAGAACTTAATGCACGTATCTTTAATGTTATAAAGCTATTGTTTGATGTGTTTTAACGTTATGATGTTTTAATTGTTAACGCCGTAGTATGGATTTCTATAATAGTATTACTATATTCGAGTACTTAATAGAGATAACATACTTAACGACGTGTCATAAACTGTCCACAATAGTTTACATTAAAACGGTTACCATACAGTGTATGTAATAATTATTAATTATTTATAATAATGCATTTACGTTCGAACGGTTCTTCCGAAAAAGAGTGGGCGACTTAGATCAGCGATCAATTAAAACACTCGAGTGCACTTAGGGTTACCTTTTATAATTATTATTGTGACGAGATAACGAGCTACTGTGGACGGGGGGATGTGGTAGAAAAGAGAGCGAATAAGATAAATATGATATTAAAATTCAAAGCGCATACGAAATGTTTATTGCTCAAACGCGAGCATGTGAAAACCCGTGGGACATCCGTGTATAAGTATATATACACTGCGCACAGTGGAATTCCCCGTATGAGAGAGATAGAAAAAAACCTAGTGTGTATAATGTATATGTGTGTGTGCGTGTGTGTCGTTTCTTTCCTGCAAGCCTACACTATATTCGGTAAAAACAGCTGTGTAAGAAAAATCTACCATCTATGTTTTTTTCCCTGTACCCTCGCCGTTCAAACGACAGAGTCGTCACGCCGATAAAACTAAATCAAAAAGATTATATCGACTCGGGGAAAATAAAAGTTCCATAAGGACCCTCGTGGGAACGTTATCCTGTTGTCCTGCGGTGGCGGCGCAACGTTTCGGTGGCTTTTGTGTTATTGTTCTTTGCCGGAGAAACCCTTTTACGTGTTCACCCCGCTCCTTTCATATTCATGTCGTTATTCTTAAAAAAAAAATAAACACTAATAAGTGTTGTATCTGAACAGTGATAAAAAAACAGCGAGTGAGACACAAAAATCTCTGCTAAAAAAAAATCATATTTTTTTTTGGGAAACAAACGTGTTGTAAATCTTAAAAACTCATGTCGATTCGATTATGTGCAAAAGTGTAATTGAATGACCTCTAGGTTTTTGGTGAACACACACCACACACGTATGTATACGGTATCGCAGAAAACTGATTTCTGAGCGGTCAGTCGAAGCGAGGGCTTGATTGAATTAATAATAGTTTACAACACCGGATTAGTTAACACAAAAGCCAGGGATCAAAAGGGAGAGATACATTTAAACTTTTGCCTGGGGTCGAATAGCATATCAAGCTAACACCAATATATATACATATATCCCATTAACCACTCTGTAGACCAAGACTGCAATTAGCTAGTTAAAACTGATGATCTAGCCCCGCTGTAGTATTAACTTTGGAACCCACATTAATTACCGGCAAGAGCCCATGCACCTTTGATAACGAACGGATGTATCAAAGTTTAATGCTTTATTATATTATAGAAAGGGTCGACTGACTTAGTTGAGTAAATATTGCTTCTAGCTAAAACCAGTTGTTTTATTAATAGCACATACAAATATTCTAGTTAAACTGTTTGTTTCATTCGCAATGTAAAATGCTTACATTTTTAAATAGCTACCTTATTTACTTACTTGCTGTACTTCAAAAGTTAAATGTTATATAAGTGAAAATGATCAACTATATTATGTAAAATAAACATGTATACAAATTAACAAACTATTTAAATTATAACTAAGCCTTTTGTGGTGTGAAAGTCAATAAAAGATAAACGTTAAGTTCATTAGAT